AGACAATTTGCGTTCAGCAGCCACTCGCCGAAGCCGATGTCCAACGGCAGCCGCTGCGCGTTTCCCCCCCGCTCCCGCCAGCGGCGCCGCCGTCTCAGGTAGGCGACTTCACCCGTTTCGCCTCGTTCCTTCTGGAGCGAATGCCCGGCCTTCTCGTGTTCGTGGACTGACATCTGTTGAGCGAAAACTTCTCTGGGCAACGTGATTGTCTTTTTTGTTTTGTCCTTGACTTTTGTTGGCAGCACCCGACGGTCCAGGTGATGGCAGCCGTTAGTGACCGTGAATGCTCCCGCCCTTCCTCACACGCTGCCCCTCACTCTTTGGCGCCTTCTTCTCCTTCCCTCAACGACGTCTTTCTTTCTCCGGGACATCCGATCCCCGCCACCCCCTCGGTCTCTCCGCTCTCCCCGATTGCAGTTGACAATGTCTTAGTCCCGTCCGTGCCAGCGTTGCTCAAAGCTCCGCCTTCACCCGTGCGGGCTCAAATGCCGCACCGCGCTTCTCCGAACGCTCGGTGTGCCGTCGCTCGGCAGCGGGGCGTCCGGGATGACGCCTGTCACTCACAACCTTCATTTGCGCATCCCACATGCACGCGCGCCGCCCTCTCTTCCAACACGCAGCCGCCCGCAAACGGCAGCGTTCTCACACAGGTAAATATGATGATGATGATGATGATGATGGTGGAGTGCTGAATTGACCCTCCCCCCCCCCAAAAAAAATTGCTACTTGGGTGTGTATATATGTGTGTGTGTGTGTGTGTGTGTGTGTGTGGTTGGGTTCGTTGTACGTAGTCCTGAACATTTTTTTTTTCTTTCCTTCACAAGTTGTTTGGCAGCCACCCGGACCTTGTTCAGATGAAGCCCCTCGCGCAGGCCTCACACGTGTCCGCACCCGCGCAGAATAACTCGGACCAGGACGCGGTCGTGGCGGCGGGCCAATCGGGAAAGAAGGAAATTGCGAGCCGCGTTCCGCCTCTTCGTCCCCTCGAGTGTCAGAGGGCTTCTTCTCGTGGCTTTGCAAGTGCCAGTCCGACACAGCGGCAGTTCACTGTCGCCGCGGGAGATGCGGGTCCGGCCGAGGCCAACGCCCATGTAAAAAATGCTCGGAATTTTTTCTCGCGGTTATTTCGATGACTTTGAATTTGAGCTGACACTTTGACACGCTGACTTGAGTCTCTTTTGTGAGAGTTGACTTCTGCCTTTGGTCGGTTTTTCTCCCTTCCGTAGGACCAGTCTGTCGAAAAACACACCGGCGGACAAAGCCACGAGAGGTACCGGCCACTTATTCTTCTCCGTCTGCCATATTCGCTCGTCCCAAGCCGCGAGCTTTGTTTTCTTCAAACCTCCGCCAATGCCGACGTCGCTGCCGTTTTCTTCAATAAGAGACGGCGAACCGAAGACGTGCGTACAGATGACAAAAGTAATAGCTCCCAATTAATTGCAGTTGTCGTCCTTCCCGTCAGCGTCACCTCCGACGCCACGTCGGGGAAGGAGATGAGCGACGGCTGCGAGGGGACGCACGGAGCGAAAGGCCAGGCTCGAATCCGCAAACACCACCGCAGGTCAACGCGCACTCGCTCTCGCCAAGAGAAGATCAACAGGCCGAAGCTCAGCATGCTAAACGTGCGTTGCCTCAAAACGTCTTCCGGTAGCCGCGCGTCTTCTCCGCAGTAACCGCGCGTGCGCTTTGCCCGGGATTGCAGGTGTGCGACACGGGCGACAAGATGGTGGAGTGCCGACTGGAAACGCACAATCACAAAATGGTCACCTTTAAATTTGACCTGGATGGGGACGCGCCTGAAGAGATCGCAACGTACATGGTGTGGAGGAGCGCGCTGCGACGTCGGTCATTTCATTTTCCGTCTTTTGTCAGAAGAACATTGACGCTTCTATCCATTTCCTCGTTTTCATGGGCTGAGAGTCGATTTGGTATTTGTTGCATTCCGTTGAAAAGAAAACCCATGCTTCTTTGGGGGGGGGGGGGGCTTTTTACCGACCATCCTCTCAGGTGGAGAATGATTTTATCCTGCACTTCGAGAAAGAAGTGTTCATTGAGCAGCTCAAGGACATCGTCGACAAGGCTGAGGAATTGTTGAGCGAGGACACAGAGGCGGAGGAGAGAAATTCCGACCCAGCAAGCAGTCCCACGAGCGAAGGACCTGGCACGATGCTTGCGGAGGTGAGACGACGACTCACGTCACAAGCTTCTGTCTCACTGGCCTGCGGGAGACCAGTCGATCGCGACTCGGGTCATGCAGGTTATGTGGGATGTGTCACGTGGACAACCTGTTTCGAGTCGGTCTTTCTCCGCTTTAGGGACTGAAGTCTTGTGCCCCCGGCGCGCCGCAGCTCGTCTACCAACAAAACGGTGAGGCATTTTCCGGCGTGCGCTCCACAAGAATTTTGCATTCGGCTTTTAGTTTGACATCAACTCTCGCTTCACAGCAAGGCCGTGTATTTTCACTCTTGCGAGCCTTTAGGGCTGCCACATCTACGCACAGCATACTGCTTTATATGCTACCGGAAGCAAGATTTTGGCTGGGTAGAGCGGTCAGCGTTAGCACAAAAGCTTCAGGCTCCTGATGGAAATTGATAAACCCATGTCGGAAATGTCCATTTGCGATGTCATTGGTGGAGAGTGCGAGTTTGATTGGTTCATTTTGAGCACCGTTTCATCCGAGTTACTGGGTCGTGCGGGCCAAGGGTCAACAACAATAATGATGGAAAAGAAATCGGACTGTAAATGCTTCCGTTCTGTCCTCGGCAGTCCTCCACACCGGCAAGCGCTGGTTTATAGTCTGCCCGGTGGCTGAGGTGCCGCTCCGAGACCAAGACGAGGCTCCGCGTCGCAGCTCAACCCACCGCGGTAACGTATGCACGCCGGACGCGCGCGCCGCCTGCTCTTGAGGAGCCCTCGGTCTTTGTTCGCGTCCGCACCGTCAAAAGAACATTTCACTTGGTTTGAGCTTTGCCTTTTTATCATCATTTGTGCTGTATGCTTGCTCAAAGAGCCCAAATGCAGCACTTGATGGTGTGCGGCGACACTTGCGTAAGAGAGCAACAAAGGCACTTTTCACCATGACTGTAGTTGACAGCGCTTGATGTGAACAAATGATGTAACTGTGACTGAGACAAAGGACTTAGCCCCCTCTGCCCCCCCCCTTTTTTTTTTATCTACGACCTGAGCTCTGCCCTAGACTAACTCTCGGCTTTGCCATTTTTCAGAATGTGAAAAGTCTGTCTCACTGTCAGTCGAAGCCGCCACCGACGCGCCGGCTGCTCTTCCGTCTTTGTCTTCGCAAGGCGCGGGTCGAGACAAAACGAAGGCAAAGTGCGCGGGCCTCCCCGCCGAAGACGCGATCGTAAGCGACGTTCCATGCTGCGCTTTGGTGCCGCCGGTCTCGTTGGATGCGAAGACCGCCGACGGGGCGGAGGTACGGACCAGTCATTCAATCGATCCGAAGGCCGCTCCGACCGCAGAGCGCGGCGCTCGGCCGTCGGTGGTCCTCCAGCAACCCTACCCGGCGGCGCCGCTGGCCTCCCAGCCCCAGAGTCCTGCGCATCAGACTTCGGCCCCCTTCGGTCAGGGGGAGTCGGACGGCGAGGGCCCGCGCCGCTTGGAGTTCGCCGATCGCACCATCAAGACTTTGGACGAGAAGCTGAGGAATCTGCTTTACCAGGAGCACGCGCACTCGCAGCCTTCCGGCGCCGGGGCCGACCCGCACACTTTCTCTCTTTCTCAACATGAGGTGAGACAGCCGCCGCGGACGACCGGAGCGGCGGCCAGGCGCGGCCGACCAAGAAACGGGAGGAGCTATTGGTAAACATTTTCTATTCGTGTGCGAGTTTGACGGCTTCGCTGAACGCAGATTAAAGCCCAACAGATTCATCTCCCCGCCCATGCGATGGCTGATTCTAGCGTTTCGCTCACTTATTGACATCGGTCACTATCGAACATATTTCTTTTTTTTTTTAAACTCTGCATCGATTCTGCCACTCTGCTTCTTTCACTTGAATCGTCCAAATATCCTTTGGACGCCATATCGATGTTCTGATTGCATATATCCATTCTGGCCCATTTATCGAATATCAGCTTTTTTTTTTCTTTTTCAGGGCCAATATTGCCCCCAAAAATCCCACACATGAGTCGGCCGCGAATGACCTTATGAGGAGAGTCCATCCTGAATTTTTTTCACTCCTGAGCTCGTCTGCCGGAGACGTAATTTTGTGCACGTGTGCTGCATTTCTCTTTTCCTCCCAGCCTCAGATTCCCGAAAGCCCAGACGGTGCGGCCGTTTTGGCGGGTAGGCGGCGCTTCTCTGCTTTCGTGCATTTCCCGTCTTCGTGTCGCCGTCACTCCAAGTTGCTTCTGCTCTCGTAGCCGCCGAGAGGAATTCGAACGGAGGAGGCGTGACCGTCGGCGCCGGTTCGCGCCACTCAAAAAGCGCTTTTCAAGTAAGGGCGTATCCATCCTTTTGTCGGTCCGGTCGGTTCAATGACATTCAGTCAAGCCGTCGATTGTGGTGACAGCCGACGAATACTTTTCATGAATGAATTAATCAGCACCCAAGTAGTAGTTTGGAGTTTCAAAAGGCTTGACGAGAACATGCCTCCCTCTTGTGTGATAATAAACAGTGAGCAGACACAAATGGTTTTGCAATCCATTTTCATGCCTTTTTTTTTTTTTTTTTTCCAATGAAAATGAGATGTAAATGAGAGGAAAACAGTCGAACGTGATTGTTTGCACACAAACCGCTGAACCCACGGGCCTGTTTTTTTTTTCTGCGACTCTGAGAACCCGTTTTCCGATTGGCTGACAACTTTCATTTCGATATCCACCGAAAAGAGCGCAGGGGCCGGAATTCAGTCGGCGAAATTCAGTCCACTCCGAACAGTCAAAAACCAAAAAAATCACCGTTGCCCTAAAAACTCCATTTGAAATTGTGCAGATGGAGCACTGGTGTGAAGATCAGTCGAATAGCTCGCGTACATCAGTCATCATTTGTCAGGTTTCTCATTGGATCGACCCTTATGATCAAATGTATGGCAATTTTGCAAAAAATCCTTTCTTTCAGATAACAGCCACGGCACCAGATGTGGAAAAAAGCGAGAGCGGCTGCGGCGCGGCCCCCGGCTGTTCTCGAGGCTCCCGCGACGGGCCGGGTCGAAATAAGAAGGGCTGCGCGACGGCCGGCAGACCGGAAAGTCCAGGCGCGTCCGGACCCCGTCGTAGTCAGCGCTCGTCCGCCCCGCCGAACCTCTACCGGGCCAGCGCCGCGTCCGGCCGCGACATCGCTCGGCACCGTTTGCCCCGAGCCGTGACCATGGACGCTCCGAGCCGCTGCCGCCCGGACACCGCGGAAGAGGTCGGTGCCGGCGGAGCTTTTCCGGCGGGGCGCCTCCGAGCCCCGGCCGAGCGCGGCGGGAGCGAGCTGGTCAAGAGGGCGGTGGCCTTCCTCAAGCGCTCCGGTCGGAGTAAAAGCGAGCAGAGCTCCGATTCGCTGAGCCGACGGCCATTGGAAATGAACGGCCACGCCCCTTCGCCTGCGCCGGGACGCGCGCCCACTTCCTACATCAGTAGCGATAATGACTCTGAATTGGAGGACGCGGACATGAGGAAAGAACTTCAGAAGCTGAGAGAAAAGTAAATTGACTCACGCACACACGCACGCACACCACGCACCACCGCGTACGCCTCCCAAGTCGTGCGACAGCTCCTCCTGGTCACCGAGGTCAGATGAGGGGTTGATTGCAACGTGATGTAGATCAGGATTTTTCTTGTCTTCAAAATCCAATTTCTTCCGTTGTTCCAATCATATCCACCCACCCGTTATCCGAACCGCCTTCTCCTCACGAGGGTCCCGGCCGTCATCGGGCAGTAGGCGGGGGACACCCTGAACCGGTCACCAGCCCATCGCAAGTCACACTTAGACGAACAACCATTTGTGCTCACACTCAGGCCTGGGGGCAATGTTTTCGAAAGGTGGGGGGGGAAAGAAGTCCTCAAAGCCGCCTTCTCGCGAGGGTTTAGCAAAAGAAAAATCACACAGCGCCATTGCCGCAAACTTGATCAAACCATCCAACTTAGCTCAGACTGGCAATGAACCTCAGCTGATTTTCTTGGGACACGCCGCATTGAATCTCTTCATAACCCCCCCACTCCCCCCAAAACAAAAAATAATAAGAAAAGTAGTCCTGTCGGAGCAAAACTCCTGGTCACCCTCACATTCCACTTCCGCAAGGCCACAGCATTCCGCCAATGGGCAAGATTCAAGGCTTTACGGTTTAGGAAATGCAAAGCAGGAAAGGAGCACTCGTTCGTCTGACGAGCTCGCGGCATGCCAGCTCGTGTCTGCCATCCCAACGATGAGAATCGTACGTGGACTTGAACCGATGGAGCTGTGGAGAAAACCGGATGCGGTCCGCTAATATGAAGGTGCTTTTTTTTTTTTTTACCAATGTGACCAGGCACATGAAGGAGATATCGGAACTGCAGGCCTTCCAGAGAAGTGAAATTGAGCGTCTGTACCAAGAGGTGGGAAAATCGCTGCCCCCCAACGTGGGCCTGCCTCACGCCGCGCCTCCCTGCGGCCGCCGACGCAGGGCCAGTAAACACAAAGTCAAGGCTGGAAAATTGCTCAATCCGATGGTGCAGCAGCTCAAAAGCGATCTCGGCGCCGCCGCGGCCCAGAGAAAAGGTGGGCGGCTTTCGCGGCGGGGCGGTGGCTCCCTCCGCGTGAGGATTCGACATGGCAATGTTTGCTTTGGTCTTCTCGTCCCACCGAAGGGGAAAGTTCAGGAAGTTCCTCGGGATCCCCCGCCAAGAGTTCGGCGCCGTCGGACTGCTGCGGCGGCTCCAGCGGGCGGCGGAGCGCGAGCCCCGAGCGGGTCCACACCCGCCAACCCCGTTCCTTCAAAGGCTCTTTCTCCTCAGACAACATCGACGCGGGCCAACACGCTGACGGGACGACAAACTTGACGTGCCAAGGTACGCGCAGGCACACGCACACACACACACACACACACACACACACACACACACACAGTATATATACACACACACATTGATATTGTGTTTTCGTCCAGTCCTACCGTTAGTAAAAAAATGACAGGTAAATGACGCCATTGGTAATATGCGATATTTAAAATGTCAAAAGAATGAGTCAAGCAAAGGTCCCGGCGTCGCTCGCAGACGGTCACAAGTGCCGACATCCCTTTGACTTGTTGCGCTTCCCATTCGTGGCTTTTGTTCACGTCATTTGCCGCAAGTGCTTTTGTGCTGGCGGGAGTGTCTCATCTCTGTCTTTGTTCCCTTTTTCAAAGTGTCTCTTTTGTTTCTTCTCTTCTATCCTCTAATATGATTTTTTTACAGGCTGGACGGTTTACCACCAAACGTCGGAGAGAGTCACCTTTAAATCGAGTAGCAAACCACGCACTAGATTCCTCAGTGGACCCGTGTCTCTGTCCATCTGTTCGTATTCGTTCCTTCCTCTCCTTCATTGCCACAATCTTGATTTTAAGCTGCCACATTGTAGACAATCGCGACCTGGGCGCGTCGTTGCGATCGGCCGACATTGACCTGCCATCCCCAAACTCTTCGCCGCCGGTTGGTTGATGTTGACCGTTCCACCGCAAAATGATTGCGAAGAGAGATGACACCAGCTCATGCGCGCACGCCGTGAAGCCTGTGCTGCTAGGAAATGTTTTGTCTTCAGTTTCCCGTGCTCGCCGCATTGTGAATTCAGCGGGGGGGTCATAAGCCATCTTGGAAATGAAACGAATGACAACGATGTCTCTGAAAGGGAGCCGATGATGTTATTGATCAGGACATGTCAACACATCGGTCAAAACAAACAAAAAACAGCACCGTGACGTCCGCCTTTCGTTTATAGAAGCGACGTGCCGGCACAATATCGGTCGGTCAAGCAAAGTCACACAACAGCGTTGGCAATTTTCGGAAGTCGCCGCATACTCGAGGCATGATTCGATGCCCCGCCCATTTTGGAGAAACCCCACGTCCGCCTTTTGGTCGTGAGAATACGGTGAAATAGCGATCCCACCAACGCCGGCGGGCTCAGTCTCAAACACGTTTGCGTGTCGCGTGCATGTCGAAACCTTGATCCGCACTCGATTTGTCGTCATTCACTCTTCCTTTAAGTGAGACGCGACTCACAAAAACCTGGGGACATTTCAGGATAAGCTTCAAATGCACGATGACCTTGACAGGTGAACTTTGACCTTCTCTCAACTCAATGTACGGATGATTTTCAGCTCTCAAAACGTTGCTCTGAACGCGGGGCAGTTGCTCATGTGCGTTCCGGACGTCCGATGGAGTGGAGCCGTCGAGGTTGTTTTGCATTTTGGGTTTGTCTTAAAACGTCACACAAAGGCAGACGCTTGTCCCGAGCGAGCTTTTTGTGAGTCGCCTGTCAAATTGGCCCGTCGGAGGCACTTCGCCGTAGCCCGTGGACGCCGAGGCAAAGCTCCGCCCTCCTCTGCTTTGGTGTCGGAGAAGAGGGCGAGCGCCCGCTGGCGTTTGGACGGAGGGGACGCCGCGGCGCCGGACGGTCTCGGCGGGCCTCTGCCGCGCCAAACCAAGAGCTCTGTCGTCACGGTTGCTTGATGGTTTGGATTCCCCCCGCCCCTTTCCGATGCATGTTTTGTTTGGACCTGGAGTTCCCACTTAAGTTGTATCTGTGTTGTCTTTGGCTCGGTCGAGCGGGCGTGGCAAAAGATGGTTTGCAATCCGTCCGCGGCCCGAGCTGGACGCGGTCTCCATTTGTGCCCGCGGAGCACACGCTGACTTGCGGGACTCCTCGCGCCGCGCGCCTGTTAGCTCCTCACGTTCTGTATTGACGACTGTCTTGAATCTGGATGACGGTCACGAAGACGGCGTGACGAGGACACGCTCACCCAAAAAGACGAGACAAAAAGACGCCGAACCCTTCTTGGCGGCCTTCCCGCTGGATTGGAAGCTCGTCTTTTCCTCCTGCCCGCTCTCCGTTTGCTCGCTCAATGTGCACGTTGCCGATGTCTCGGGCCTAATGCTCTGTCTTGTGCTCTTGTACCTCTTCATAGGGTCCACACTGAAGCGACTATGTCTAGGCAAAGAGCGCAGTCGTAGTAACTATCTCATTTACTTGCTTACAGCCCCCCCCCCCAAAAAAAAACTTTTCGTTCTTTGTTCACATGTGTGCACGTCATGCTTTCATTTTTTTTTCCACCTGCACTTGAAAATGCGATCGTCGTCGGTGCTCCTGAGATTGTTCAGTTGACCCTTTTTGGAGGTGGAGGGGGGGGTGGGTTTGCATGATCATTTGCGTCATTGCCTGCATACTGTGGCGGACATTTGTGACTGTCCTGTTGTGATTGTCTGGCCAAAGTGCTGGACAATACGTCACTGCAAGAGTGAAGTGTGCCGGAGGAATGCCTTTGATCTTTCGTAGCGTGCATTTGCATCTGCCCTCCCTCCGTGTTTTCTTCAGGGACGCAGCCGTCGCTCGCCTCGGCCGCACCCTCGCCGCCGTCGCCTCGGGTCCAGACAAACAACAGCAACAATAAGAAAAGATGCTTTCGCGAGGACCTGCGCAAGTTGGCCGACGACCGGGCGAAGGAGGCGGCGGCGGCCCATCGCCGACCCCCCTCCTTAAGCCAGACCAAACCACAGAGGCGCTTACACGACCTTCGAGGCAAAGTGGAGTCCTCGCCGGCGGCGGCCGTGCCCGAGGTACTTGGGAATCCACGTGCGCCGTTTCAATTGTCCCCGCTAAGCGTACATCGAAAAGGCTTGTCAGTTGGACGCACGGCAGAGGGGAGTGTTGTTCGCCAGCCTGCAAAGAAAAGAAAACCGACAACAATCACGGCCAAGCATCTGAAATTGAGCTTCAAGAGGCGCCGAAAACGTGCCATGCTCGCCGTCCGATACGTTGCTGGGTCCAGCACGCAGCAACGTCTCACTTCTTTGGCAATGCGTCCTCTTCGCGCCTCCGTTGGCGCGACTCGCACTCTTGGTCGGGGATCGGGACACGGACGACTACTACAAATACATGGAAGCGTTTGCCTTGTTCGTTTTACTTGGAAGTTAAATATTGAAAAAAAAAAACATTGCTCGATTCTACACATGTCCAAACCTATTTGGCTTGATGAGCTGAAATGAGATGAAGGTTCACGGGGTCCAACTGTGCTCATTTGCAGATGAAACGCCCCGCCGACCCCGGCGGGTCGCCTCCCCGCCCGACTGCCGGGGAGACGCAGCCAAGTGCGCCAAGCGGCCGAGGTCCGGACTCGACTCC